CTGAATTCATCTTTATTCTGCAGCTATCCTCCTATGGATTTCCCAGGGGTCTCCTTCTATTTGTACGTGCATGCTAGTAATTCCCTATTGATATTGGCATTGCTGGTTATGATGCATACATTCTTTCCTCATAATGAGAGGTTAAGTTTCTGTTAAATAGCACATAAGCCTCTTACCAAAGAGGACTAATCGTGCAGTGGCACAAAGAAATTTGGTTGTTTCTGACACTTGAGAGGTAGAGGTTGGAGATCAGAAATTTAAGGTCACCTTGGTCTACATAGTGAACTCCAGGCTAGCTTGGGCTACCTGAGACCCTATATCAACAAACAAGAATTTGTTCTTAAATTTTATTGATTTATTTATAGATTTATTATTAGTGTTTAAGAATATTTTGCCTGCATGTGTATCTGTGCACCACATGCATGTATATCTGCTGCCTATGGAGATCAGGGAGGGCATTGGATCCTCTGAAACTGGAGTTATAGACAGCAGTGAGCTACCATGTGGATGTTGGGAAATCTTCTATAAGAAAAAGTGTTCACAGAGACAGGCAGATTTCTGAGTTCGAGAGTTAGAGGCCAGCCTGGTCTACAGAGTGAGTTCCAGGACAGCCAGGGCTACACAGAGAAATCCTGTCTCGAAAAACCAATAAATAAATAAATAAATAAATAAATAAATAAATAAATAAATAAATAAATGAAAAAGTGTTCACAATTACTGGTCCATCTGCTTTTTAACTTTTTTTTTCTCTGTGTAGCCCTTGGCTGTCCTGGAACTCACTCTGTAGATCAGGCTAGCCTCAAACTCTCGAACTCAGAAATCCGCCTGCCTCTGCCTCCCAAGTGCTGGGATTAAAGGCGTGCACCACCACCGCCGGACTTAAATTTAATTTTACTTAACCTTTTTCTTGCATTTTTATTTCTACTTTTAAAATTAATTTATTTACTTTACATCTGGATCACAGCCTCCCCTCCCTCCTCTCCTTCTAATCCTCCTCCCTCTAATCCCCGCCAATCCTCCTATTCTCCCCCTCTCCTCAGATCATTTTATCTTTTTTGAGACAGTATAGCCCTGGCTGTCCTGGAACTGGCTTTGTAGACCAGGCTGCCCTCAAACCCAGAGATCCACCTGCCTCTGCCTCCTGAGTTCTTGGACTACAAGCATGATGAACCACCATCACTGGGCCTGTTCTTAACTTTTAAAATAAATATCTTGTGTGTGTGCGCGCGTGTGTGTGTGTGTAATGCCATACAAGGAATATTCATATATCTATTTATTCCTGTATTAATTCATTTAGCACACATACATGGGATAGGGCCATGGCTCCCTGGGAATGACACGTGTGTGTAGGATGTTGGCTTGCTCCGTGGGTTCTGGGATCTAAACTCCAGTCCTCTTGCCTAAGGCAGCAAGTGCTCTTAACTGCGGAGTAATGTCTCCAGCCCAGGATCTGTGGTTTTAAAGAGTATCCTATTATTTATAATCTTGTAGCACTTACACAAATCAGATTGTTTAGAAGGATCTGGGGAAATGGGTGTGGGCAAATGCAAATCTTTGGCTTAATCTCATAAATTCATCACATACTATCAAGAATGGGAAGGGAAGGGTGCTGGAGGGATGGTTCAGTACTCAAGAGCCCTGGCTGTTCTTCCAGAGGACCTAGGTTCAATTCCCAGCACCCACATCAGGGTTTATAGTTCTACAGGATTCGAAACCCTCTTCTGCCTTTGTGGCACTATGCACATAAGTGATACACAAAACATCCACACCTATAATTCTACAAACATATAAAGAAACAAAGAGAACGGGAAGGGAAGACAGCAGCTACTCTAGAGTGGAAGAAATCATGGTGACACATGATAAGAGCAAGAACTCAAGGGGTGCACTTCAAAATTCAATATTGTCCTGTGAGGGTAGGAATACATTTTATTAATAACTATAGCCTTAGTGTTCAGAGTAGCTCTTTGCATGAAACTGCCACTCACGAAATATTTGATGGGGCTGGAGAGATGACTCAGTGGTCATGGGCACTTGCTGCTCTTGCAGAAGGCCTACGCTTGTTTCCCAGCACCCACAGTGGCTCGTAACTGGCTCTTACTCCAGGATCTAATGTCCTTTTCTTGGCTCCTGTTGGGTACGTGGTACACATAACTCACACAGGTACATATACACATAAAAATAATCTTTTTTTGTTTGTTTTTGAGACAAGGTCTCTCACAGGGATTAAAGGCATGTTAACACCACATCTGGCTAATAAGTAATTCTTTACGAGAAAGTGAAAGAGGGAGGGGGGAAAAGGGAGGGAAAGAGAGAGAGAGAGAAAGAGAGAGAGAGAGAGAGAAGCCAGACACAAGTGACCATACATTACTCTGTAATCCCATTATTTGAAGTGCATTTCATTTAGACACGGTTTCATTATGTACCCTGGGCTGGCCTTGGTCTTGCAATGACCCATTTGTCTCAGCTTCCAAGTGATGGAATTACAGGTGTGTGCCATCATCAACCGGCAACTTCTATTCAGTTGAAATGCCCAGAACAGGCAAATCCACAGAGACAGAAAGCAGGGCAGTGCTCACCCAGCTCTGGGAACGGGAGACACTAGAGAACCATGCTTAAAGTGTACAGGACTTCCTTTGAAGGTAAGAAAGTTCTAAAATGGACTATAGTCATGAGTGCACAGCTCTGGCAATATTCTAAAAGCCATGGAATTACACACTTAGTGAGTAAAGTCGTGAATTTGTAAATTGTAACTCTGCCCTCAAGAAAACTATTAGAAGAGAAACAGTTGATAAATAAGCAAATGGATAAATGAGAGGTGGTGGCTCGTGTCTTACTGTCACTTAGAACGGTGTCCAGTGGTAGATGAAGACTCCTCTCCCCTCCCTTTACCCATATATCCACTCACCCAGCAGTCATGCACAGTGTCAAGCCGGATGGTTTGAGCAGAACGATGCTCACTGACAGGGACTCAGCAGCAATGGAGGCTGCCAGATCCTGCCTGCTCTCCTGGAGCACACACATTTAGATGGACAGCTTCTTTCCTTTTCTCTTTTCTTCTCTCCATCACCCTCCAACTCTTTTTGCGACATGGCCTCACTATGTAAACAAGGTTGGCCTTGGCCTTGGCCCCATGATCTTCCTAATTTAGTCTCCACTAGAGTGCTAGAACTACAGGTGAGGCCACCAGGCCCAGATCCTTCTCCTTATCAGAATTCCCCAGAGTCATATTTCTATTCTTTTTGTTTTTGTTTTTGTTTTTTCGAGACAGGGTTTCTCTGAGTGTAGCCCTGGCTATCCTGGAACTCACTCTGTAGACCAGGCTAGCCTCGAACTCTCGAACTCAGAAATCCGCCTGCCTCTCCCTCCCAAGTGCTGGGATTAAAGGCGTGCGCCACCACCGCCCGGCCATATTTCTATTCTTAAGTCCTGACATTAAAAGGATGAATCCCACTGCCAATCACTTAGACTGAATCTTTCTTAAAATGAGACAAACCCAAAGGGAAACTAGTGTGGAATTCTGATGTTAACTCCACTGGCTGCTTTTAAATTATAGAGATAATCTCCTGTGATCATCAGCTTCTGCCTCCTCCTCCTCCTCCTCCTCTTCCTCCTCCTCCTCTTCTTCCTCTTCCTCCTTTTTTTGTCCTTTCAACTAAGAATTCAAGGCAGGTCTGACAGTGTATGCCAGGCCTGAGGTGGCTGAGGCAGGAGGATACATAGAAAAAGACTGTCTCAAAAAATACAAAACCAAACCCAAGCAAAAATCCAACCTCCCTTTGGGTTGCAGATTAATGAAAACAATAAGCCTGCACTATCACTGTTACTTGTAGTCTCTGGAAAGGATGAACACTCAAGACACAATAAGGGTCAGGGAGCTATAACATTTTTTGTAAACTCTGCACATTATCAGTGAAATTAGCTCATATACCTTGAGTACAAAATATCCTTTCTCAGAAGAGGCTGCTGCCTGCAGCTTAGGACCACTGACTTTTCCATCCTTTAAGTCTAGAGAGAGAATGAGCTGGGGACTTTGGGAGGAGCACAGTGATTCTTAGTATAGCAGAGGCACTGGACCTTTGTTTAAGGAGCCAACCCTCTAGGCAGAGATGATGCCCCACATGGAAAAGGCCAGTGAGGAAGCTGCATGCAAAGTCTCTTGACTCTGGCCAGCGGGGCCACTCACACCTCTGCTACTTACAAGTTATCAGTCAATTTGACAACAGTTAACCTCTTTGCCCTTCAGTTTCCTCTTAAGTAAGGGACATGGTAGGGAAGTCGGAGGTATCTTCTCGTGAGGATTAACATAGCTGAGTAAGTAAATGGAAGTGGGACAATGAACATAAATGACTTCAATGTTAACTTATTTTAGAAACTGGGAGCTTTTCAGAAAATCTTTTGTTCTGCTTGAATATGCAGCCCCACCTCATATTTGTGTTAAATGATTAAAACTTAACTTAGGTGTAGTTCAACTGCTTCATTTAGTTAAAAACACATGAGCAATGGTGAAACCACACGTGACTTAGGGGCTCCTAAGACTCTGCTAAGCCACAGGTCTGGGCTAAACTCAGAAGCTTTCCTTTAGCACACACAGGACTAGCTGCTCTCCCTTCAGTTGGGGTTTTAGCTCTTCCATGCCTTTTCAGTCCTCACTCTCAGCCTTCCATGCTTGCTCCTCTTTCTTCAGAATATCCTTGTACACATGTGTGTGTGTGTGTGTGCGCGTGTGTGTGTGCACACGCATGCATGAGTGAGCACTCACACTTCTGTGGCCCTGTGTCTATTTCACTATTTTCAGAACCTAAGGCTCCTGGGAAAACCACAAAGGATCATTGGTTTCCCTTAGGGAACAGAAAGTATTATATCTGAGGGTAACTCACAACAGACCTCTCCCTTGAAGGCCAGTTTCTCTCCTAATGCCTTTCCTGAGACCCGATGTTCTGGTTTCTTGAAGAAGCTCTGGCCCCTAGAGTACATACGCTTGAAGATTTGGACATACATACCTGGCTGCTTTCTGAGTGAGCTCCAGTGGAAAATCTGGGCACAACAACTGCAGCAGACAGTGGTACTCCCTCATGGTCAGCAGGTCTGCAGGGCAAGGGAAAAGACTGTTAGGCTGCAGCTCGGGCCATGCCCACTTTGGGCTCACTTCATGAGTTCTGGGCCCAGTCTTGTTAGAATGGTGCTACGGTTTGAAGGCCAGTCAGTGTGCAGGGCGAGGCATTGCTTTTTTCTTCTTTTCCTTTCTTTTGACACAGGGTCTCACTATGTAGCTCTAGCTGGTCTGGAACTATGTTTCCCAGGCTAGCCTCAAACTCAGAGAGGCCTGCCTCTACCTCCTGAGTACTGGGATTAAAGGCAGGCATCACAGCTGGCCAAAGAGGTGAGATTTTAAGACTAGAATCTCTATCAAGCCATCCCTTGGTGAAGTTACGGTTAGAACATTTTGACTAAAGGGGCTTCACTGGTCTGAGAACTAGCTAGGTGAAGAGAGGAAACAAGAAAAGCACCTACATCAGCCTTCTTTCCCTGGCTTTCCCTGACTCCAAAAAATGTGAGTGACAAGTCATCCCAAAGTTGGTTGAGTCTTGGAAGTCTCTGGCATGGCAATGTTTACCACTGCATGCCCAAAAACCATCTATGAAATATCAACAGGCAGCAAGGCAAGCATGTTGCATGTGTGGGGGAGAGAAGCACATAGCACAGAAACCCACAGACCTAATTTCTCTGCCACCCAGGACTACAGCAGACTGACTTCTTTGGGATGCTTGCATACAAGTCTGGTCATCCTACTATTACAGGAAGCCAAGATAAAGGTCCAAGATATACAGTCGTGGCAAACAAACAATTCCCAATCTACAAAAGCCGTGGGAGCCAGGAGCAGGGAGTTTTGTGGTCCAGATTTGCTAAAGAGGCAAATCTCAGGGAGGAATCACACCTATGCTTCCCGGTTGTTTTGCTGGAGCCTGTGCTACAGTGAAAGGCTCTGGTGTGGCCTGAGAGCAGCAGTTGCCAAGATCTCCCAAGAAGCAAAGGCTTTCTAGTGTGGAAGGTCATGCTCACGGTGAAGCAAGAACCACACAGCTGCAGCTATCCTAAGTGAGAGGAGGGGAGCCAGAAGATATGGCTGGGCAACCATGATGCAATCATAGGCCCTTGGTTTCTCTGGACTTAAGTTATCCCAAGCCACAGGAATCCAGACCTCCTGCCCCTGCTAGTTTGGTTGATACTTTTCTTGATACTTTTCTAAGACAAAAACCCCAAATCTCCAAGAGTCAGGCCTGGGCCCTGACCACTTTTTCATCAAAGCTCACCTCAAGGTGGGGGCACAGAGTTAAACTAACCACAGTGCCAAAGGCAGGGGCACCAGAAGACCAGACTCAGTGTCCATGTAGGTCAGGGGACCAAGAGGGCTTTTCGGCCTTGAACTTGGCCCGTGGGCCAGGTTCTTCTCATCTGACTCCAGTCACGGTCTGGCAGGAGCTTACACTCTTCACGCACGGGGACACTAGCTGCTCAGTGTCACTGCTTGGAGTGAGGAGCAGGAGAGACATGGGGTGGGACAAAAGCCCTCGTTCTTGCTCCACAACTCTAGGTATGGAGGACAGAGAGGACTGTCTATGAATCAAGAGCTTTTTTATGCTACACTTTGACACTATTATTGGGTATGAGGCCAAAAACTGCATAAGAATTAGTATGCATTCTCCAAATCCTAGGCAGTCACCCTGGGAAGACACACAAGGGTAAACAAGATAGAAGAAACCATGGGAGAAAAATCAGTCTCTGGCTGCTGGTTTCCAGAGCTGAGCCCTGTTGAGTTTCTTTTTTGTTTTTAAGGTGCTTGATGTGTGTGTAAAACCTAGACACAATATAAAAGTGCTTCACCACTGAAGCATATCCCCAGCTCCTTGTTAGGTTCTCTGTAATGTGTGGGTCCCTGTGTGTGTGTGTGTGTGTGTGTTTCTGTGGTGTGTTTAGGCTGAAGGACAACCTTAGGTATTGTTCCTCAGGTTTGTCAACCCTTTTACATTGAATTTTATTTTAACCACAGGCCCTCCTGCTTGTGAGGCCAGTGCTGCAGCCTTATCTCCCCAGCTCGCGTTTAGGGTCCTGATGCTGTTCTAACTCACACATTCAAATATGTTTCTCTCCCAAGGGTGGGGAAAATTTATACAAATTACTCTGTGCCTCTCTAATGTAACAAAAGGCTCTTAAAACCAGAAGACACCCTGCCCACCACTTCTGGGACTGACTCCAGTGCTGGGTGAGGAAAGCCGTCATAGAAAGAGACCCAGGAAAATACAAGCAAACAGCTTTGAAGTGTGAGAGAGCAATTCAAATTCTATTAGGGCAGCGGCCAGATAATATCAAGGCCAGAGATTGCAAGGGAGAGCCACCCTGTACCTCTGGAGATGGGTACTGAAAGCTGAGAGACTGGTTCCAAAACCCAGCCACTGCCCCACTTGCTAGGCGTCAAACAGGCTCCTTAATTCAGGTATGGAACCTCAGGCAAATTGAGTAATCTCTCCATCTCAGGTTCTCTGCTGTAAGCTGGGGATGGCAGCCTCACTTTACAGGATTGAAGTCAAAAGAGATGCTATCTATAAAGTATGCAGCAGAATGTCTGGACCTTAGTAACATCAAACACTTGGAGTTGTTTTGGTTTTGTTTTTAAATCCTGGGGGTTAAACACAGGAGAGAAGAGAAGAGGAAACCACCTTAGGAGGTGCTTTTTTTTTTTTTTTTTTTGCTTGCTGCATTTGAATGTTTTAATCTATAGTGTTCAGTCTTGGATAGTTTTTGTCAGGCTGCCTGGGCTAACTCACTTCCACTCATTTAGCAACCATTCTTGCCTCCTGCATCCCAGGCATTGCATTACAGTGGAGCGAGCGGCAGCTGTAGAACGATAGAACGGAGGAGCTCCGGAGGCCCCAGAGGCCCTAGCTCCAGGTGCTGCTGTACACCAGACTCTTTAGCTTTTGGCACTCTCTTTAAGATCTCAAAGAGTTTCCTGGCAGGCCTCTTGTGCCACAGCGCAATAATAACAACAGTGACCAGTATTCTTGACTAGTACTAGCTCTGTGCCCAGTGTTTGAATCCTTGCACTTCACAGCGCTCTTGTGACGCCATTGTTTCTATCCCCAAGCACAGATAAGCACACAGACGCTTGGAAGACTTAATAACCCGTGATCAGGGAGGGGCCCAGAGTCTGAGAGAAAGGGCGATAGAAAGGGTTCCAAGGCAAGAGACCTTAATGAAAATACTACTTACTGGTGTTTGGATAGGAGGTTTACTAAGGGCCAGCTCTGATCTCTTTACGGTTTATGGATGCACTACCTTTTCTGATTTTCATCTTAATTTTTTTTTAGAGGCAAAGTCTCACACTTAGCCCAGGCTTACCTAGAACTGCCAGCAAAAGTTTTGCCTGTGTCCTGAGATTACATGTGTGAATTACATGTGAGAGCCACTGGCTAATCTTCATGATCTTCCTGATTTTAAGTCTCTCTCTCTCTCTCTCTCTCTCTCTCTCTCTCTCTCTCTCTGTCTCTCTGTCTGTCTCTCTCTCTCTGTGTGTGTGTGTGTATGTGTGTGTGTGTAGTTGCCTCTTTCCTTCCACGGGGACTGAACCTGGGTTGCCATGCTTTCAATGCTTCCCACTGAGTCATCTTGTAGCCCTAATTGTCACTATTTTTATCCCCATTTCACAGACAAACAAATTCAGACTGTGTGTGTACAAGGATAGAACTGGAATTCAAATCCAGGAGGTAGCTGCTGCGTTTACTCAGCTAACACTTCAGCACCTTGATCTTATCGATCTGATATGGGAAGGCTTAGACAGCAGCTTCCCTCCACACAAACTGCAGCAGTAACTAGCTCCAGGTGAACTGGATCAAGAAGACAATCCTTGTGAATCGGAATCTTTCTTGTAAGAATCAGAGCCTGTAAGGTCCTAATTACTGTAAACAGGAAATACTGATGCTTGGCTCAGCAGCTGGAGTTAGCTAGGCTGAGCCCCACCAGGGGAGGACGCCTACAGCAAGCAGCACACCTGTGAGGCTGGCTGGCTCAGCCCTCTCACCCCAGCTACCAGCGAGCCTCAGCATCACACAGGTGCAGGGAAGGCTAGTGATGTGGTGTGTACCCTAGGATGCGGCTCTAAAGGAATCCCCCACAATTAGCGGAGCTCAGCCAGCAGGTCCTCAAAGTTCAAAGGCAGAGACTTTTGTATAAGATTGAAATCAGAGCCCTCTCCACAAATTGGTGTTTCTCTTTGTGTGGGTGGTCAGAGTTAAACTCTCTTCACAGTCTTCTAGGTCTTACCAACTAGGTATCTGGCCCAGGACCAAAGAGGTTTGCCACCTAAATCCTACCATCTCCAGAGGCTGCTCAGTGCTGTAGCTCAAACATCAGCATGCTCAGGACTAAGTTTTAGCTTTGTCACTGACTTTCAGATACTTAACTGATAACTCCATGTCTCAGCTTCCATGCATAAAGTGTTTGCATGAGCATTGTAGAGTTGTCAGTGAATGTTAAGTGTATAGGCCCATGTCTGGCTCATCATGAGTGTTTGCATGACTATTTCAGAAATAAAGAAACTCTTCTCTGGTAGGTCAATTATTTTCTCAAAGAAATAGCTGGTTCATAGAACTGCTCTTTAGACAGAAACCTATCCTGGCTCCAAAGGCCGTAAGAGTTCCACCCTAGCAGGTGGGGTCCAGCTGGTTTATGGAGACTTAACTTTTGATGATAGGATTATTCATGCCAGGTGACTGACTAAGTTAAAATACAGACTCCCTTCAGGTGAGCCAATTCAACAGGGCTGGGTGGCTTGTCAGTCAGGGCAGCTGTGTTGGTGAAGCGCTCAGATTCTGAAACCAGATGACCAGATCAGAACAAATTAGACAGCTTAGCAGCAGACAAATTATACAACATTTCTGCACTTTGGCTTCCTTGTTTAAAAGTGTGCACAGCACAGTACCTACCTGATGGGATTGCTGTAAACGACACGAAGGAAAAAAAGGCACGAGAGAAAAAAAATATAAATATAAAATCTTTATCAGAAAAATCAGCAAAGTAACTGATCTGTT